ATTTTTCAGTTTTGGGAACAGAGATCCAGAAATTGTAACTAACTGCTACAAACTAGGATAAGATCCTCCATCTCTTGACTTTCCTTGGTACTCGTAGTTATATCATACTTGCTCAGGTAGAACCCTTCTTCCTATTTTACATGTAGCTGTGATATCTTTGTTTAAAAATGTTTATTGACAGAGTTGTATTCATCCTTTTATGTCTTTTTTTCTAACTTCTCCTGAAACTAACTAAACCTTTCTTCCTCTCTTTTGAACTTTGCTTTGAAGGATATTGTTTGACCCTAAAAATAAGCTGTAAGTACAGCCTTTTAAATTAAAATGATCACCTTTCTGCATATCTTTCTAAATATTCATCCTTTACCATAATACGTTGCTGTGATAAGCCTGGTATTTTAATAGCACACATTTCAAATGGCAGAGGAGGAAAAATACATCATCTTACTTTCCTGCAATTCAAATAACTTTTTTTGAATAGTTATTTTTTTTTAAATTTTGTAGAGAAGTTCAGTTTATTTTTGAAGGCCTAAAATAAACGCAATAAAGAAGAAATCAAGCCTCTGTTCTAATTAGTAGGCTGGAATTCTTAGCATTTGCTTTCTCCACGGATAACCATTGTGGCGAATTGTAAGGCCCTTGGTGGCAGAGAACATATCTGATTTCTCTTTATGTTCCTTGGGATTTAACACAATGCCAATCACACACTTGGCTCCCAATAAATTCATGTTGATTGAATGAATGGCACGATTGCCATCTTTCCTTGCCCACATCCATTCTGCTTTATCCATTCTCTAAACACACCACACTCCGTCACGTCTCGGTGCCTTGGCAGATGCCATTTCCTCTGCTAGGAATGCCTCTCTCCTAGTGATTCCTTTGCCAAGTCCCTCCTCATCTTTTAAGACTGAGCTCAAATGTCATAGTTTTTTGTAAAGCATTTCTCAAACCTTAGATGATGCCTCCTTATTCTTTATGTTCCTGGTGCCTGACACAGAGGCAAAGATAACTAAATATGTAGTGAATGAGCAAGTGAATGAAGAGAAGGGACAGAACCAGTGTCCCTTAGTGGAGAAGAGCATATCTATATAGTATGCCACATCTGGATTCTTGACTTACTGCTGTGTGACCTAGGTCAGGTTATTTCACCACTCTGAGACTTAAGGTTTCCTTAGTTGTAAAATGGAGGTAAAGGTAGTACCTGACTCAAAGGATTCTTGTGAGAATAAAATGAGTTCCTGTATATAAAATCCTTTGCCTAATAAGTGCTAAATAATAGTCAATGTTGAGAGAATTGTTTTCTGTTTTTTTCTTTGATTTGCAATGGACAGATTGCATTGTGGCTAAATCTGGCTGGTCTTAGTGTGGTCATATCTGACAGAAATATTTGGGTCAGGGAACCATGGAACTGCCATGCCACTACCATTTCATTTCCTTCCAAACTAAAGAGTAAAACTCCAGAAAAGCAAAATCCATGTAACTAGAAAACACTCGATTAGAATTTCCCTGACACTTGAGTTTTAAGAGAGACAAACCACACACACACATACACACATACCCCCCCCTAACAAAAGGATCTTTATTAAGTAGAGAAATACTGCAAGTAACTTCTAGGGGATGACCTTAGAATACCTTCAGCTTAAACTTCTATTCCTTTGCATGGAGGCAAGTTGGCATCTTGGGGACTGAATTCAGCCCCTGACTGGTGATTTGGCCTGACACTGTGTTATAAAAAACTCAAAATGGATGCCAACATGAAAAAAGAAACTATATGGAAATTTTCAAATACATCCCCCTATAGAGTGATTATTAGAATGAATCTCCATGTAACTTATCATCCAGCTTCAATAATTAGCAATACTCTCTCATTCTGTTTCATCCTTTCCTCTCTCTTTCTTATTTGTTTTGCTGGGATATTTTAAAGCAAATACCAGTTATCATGCATTTCACTCATCAATATTTCAATGTGCATCTCTATCAAGATAACAACTTTAAAAATATAGCCACAATCAATGATCACAACCAACAAATTAAGATTGATCTCTTAATATGACCTAATATCCTGTCTGTATTCCTTGATATTTGGTTATTAAGTATGAAATGTCCTATTTTCTTAAGTACTAAGTTTTGTAGTTGATATCTCTGAAATTTCACTCTAACATTTCTTGTTTTATTTTTATTGTGAAGATACATCCTCAGTCTTTCAAATGCATGGTTTGGCTTGTGATTATCTTTCAAAATTTTTTTAAGGGCAATTTTTGTGAAACCATGGGTAAGTCAAAAATTTATGTTATTTTTGACTATAAGTTCTGTTGTGGAACAAATGCAGCACAAACAGCTCAAAATATTAACAAAGTGTTTGGGAAGGATGTGGTTAATGTATGCACAGTACATTGATGGCTTAATAAGTTCCGTTCTAGTGATTTTAATCTTGAAAATGAGCCATGTGGGTGACCTGAGACCAAGGTGGATAATCATGTGCTGAAAGCTGTAGTGGAAGCAAATCCATCTCAACCTATGTGTGAATTAGCAGTAAGGTTTGATGTTACTATTTCAACAATACTGGACCACTTGAAACAAATTGGCAAGGTAAAGAAGCTGGATAGATGGGTTCTGCATGAATTAAACGAGTGTTAGAAGAGCAATCATCTCGAAGCTTGCCTGTCTTTGCTGTCACAACCTACAGGCAAATCATTTCTACACCGTATTGTTACATGTGATGAAAAACGAATTCTTTTTGACAATCACAAGTGTTTGACACAATGGTTGGATAAAGATGAACACAGTCTAGAATACAGTCTAGAACACTGTCCAAAACACAGTCTAGAACACAGTCCAGAACACAGTCTAGAACAACACATTCATCCAAAAAAGCTAATGGTGTCTGTTTGGTGGTCCAGTACTGGTATTATTCACCACAGCTTCATGAAACTTGGTCAGTCTATTACAGCAGATGTCTACTGCAATCAGTTGGATGAAATGATGAGAGTGCTTGTGATTAAGCAGCCACGATTGGTCAATAGACACAGGCCAATCCTCTTGCAAGACATCGCTCAACCACGTGTCACACAAACAACGCTGCACAAACTACAGAAGCTGGACTTGGAAATTCTCTGTCATCCACTGTATTCACTGGACCTTACACCAACCACCTACCACGTTTTCTAGGCTTTGGGCCGCTTCTTGCAAGGAAAAACATTCAATTCTCAACAAGCTGTGGAAAATGCCTTTTGTGATTTCATTGCCACTTGCTCTCCAGGCTTCTTTGCTGCTGGCATAAACAAGCTACTATTAAGATGGCAGCACTGTGTCAATAGTTTAGGTGCATGCTTTAATTAATTGTACTGCTTCTTGTTTGAGATATAACAAACTACACTTTTGATTTGAAACTGGACATTTCATATTTAATGACCTATATCAATAGTTTTTTTTTTTAATAGTTGTTTTGTTTGAATAGGAATCCACACACAGTCCACAAAGTATATTTGTTGGCTATGTGTCTTAAGTCTCTTAATGTCTAGCAGTTCCCCTCCTGTTTCCATACCATTTACTTCTTGAAGAATTTAAAAGTTGATAAATATACATGAAAACTTGGATTTGTGGCTCCTTTGGAAAAAAATTGGAAGAGCAAACAGCACTGGCTTACACTCCCATAAGGCAACATTTCTCCCAACTGGCACTGAGTAGAGGCTTCAGCCTTTAGATCCTGCAAATTCTCCACAATCCACACCAGGCCCTATCGTTCCAACCATCATAACTCATTTATGTTGCCAGCCCAGCGCCAGTGAGCTGGCCACCTCTCACCTATATCCACTTCTGTTAGGTGATGAGAGCTGATTTCTGACTTATGATCTTGAAGTCCTAAAACCTCCCTACTCATTAAGTAAATGTTTAGTATTGTGTATTATGTTAATTAGGTAGAGATGTAAGCTAAAAACATTTTAAAAATTTTCAGCAAGAATTGAATCAACAAAAGACTTTTTTAAAATCTTAAGTTAACCCAACATTGTACAAATTGCAGTGTATCTCTCTTTTCTTGAGCCTTCCAGTTAATCTGCTTTACTGTCTTTCATTTTATAAATATCTTTTACACCTGTGTGGGAGTTGGATCCTCCAAAAGACTGGGCAAGGTATCATAAGACACAGAATTAAGTCCTAGGCCTCTATGACCAATGGGCCATCATTTTGCTTCTCTGTGTCACTTATGCATAGTAGAGGTAAAACAGCCTATCTCTCAGGGTTGTTGTGAGGTTCAAATAAGGCAACAGATGTGAAATTAGTTTGTAAACTGTATAGCTCTATGTTTAATGTATTAATATGCATAGGGTATACTGAATTATGCATAACATCCTCTTTCACACCTCTGTGCATTTGCTCTGCTGTTCCCTCTCCATATGATGCCCTCAAGAGTTAATTGCTAGTCATCTGTGGTCCCCAAACACTTTATGCCTATTTCTTTACAACATTTGTCACACCATATAAAAACCATTTGTTCACATCTCTGTCTTCTGTGAGATTCTGAGCATAAACCATAGTTTATTCCGTGCTTAGCCCACAGCTAGCTCTCAGTAAATGTCTACTGAACTGATACGGATTGATTTGAACAATTATTATGTGTGCCTCTCTTCAAAGACAAAGTGTATGTCTATACAATTCTTTAGGTATGACATCTAGTAACTGACCTATCTTATGATGAAGATGATGACAATGAAATATTCATGAAAATAGAGTTCTGTATTTTTAATTTAAATAAATGATCAGACTTCTTGAGTATGTGGAATACCTATCATTTAAAATATTTTTTCCATGAGGGGGGGAGGGGGGACATGGGCAATATATGTAACCATAACACTTGTACCCCCATAATACACTAAAATTAAAAAAAAAAAAATATATATATATATATATTTTCCAGCTGGAGAAAACTTAAGCTCCCTAGCCATCATTTTTGACCCAGTTCTCTGGTTCTGTTGATTAACATAGCGCTTCTTGATCTTTTACAGCTGGTTTGCTATCCACCCAGTCAGCATGAACAATAGCAACCATCTTGTGAATAGTGACAACGTGGGCTATGCATCTTATCTTTTTGAGCAAGAGAAGAACAAAGGATATCTACCTGGAGAGGTGAGAATTTATGTCTTTGAAAGCTTCATGCATTATTCAGAATAGGTGATTCAAATCTCTGGGATAGTGTCATGATGGACCTCACATACTGATATGTGTGGGTAGAAAGTATTCACCACCATCCTTAATAGAGAAAGAAAAATTAAAATGAGTAGTAAACCATTTGCTTTTTGTGTTAGTTATTACTTATATTGATGGCTTCATAAAGTTTTAATTAGTTAAATAGGAAAGGGCAATTTTTTAAGATATTTGTGAAATATACTAGGTTTTGATCAAGCCAAAAATACGACAAACTGTGTTGTTTACTTTTGTTTTTAGAGCTAGGAAAGTATTAAGCATTCTTTTAATCGTGTAAGAGCTGTGAATGAAGATGGGTCGTGTGTCCTTTTCACTGGGCCAGGCTTCCTTCTTAATGGTGAATTTCCTTTCAAGGACCTTGTTCTATTTTCCTGCAGTAAGGCCTAAGTCAGAGACAAGCCTAATCCACCAGACTTGTTTTTGTGACTTTGAAACTCAGTGAATGATGGGATCAGACATGGGGTTGGGGCAGGAACTCCGTCCATGTACTCCAGGAAGCTCCTCAACTTTGGCTAAATTAGTGGCTACAGATAGATAAGTGAGAAAAGGAAGACTGCTCTGCTTGGCCCCAGCATCCAAGCACCAAATGTAGAAGAATAGAAGATAGGATGAGAGTTCTGGGCCCTTCCTAGAATTAATCTTCCATTCTAAAGGTATTAGCTCCCATTAACATTCATTTTGAACTTTTAGCTTTGCCTTAGTCTGTTTTGTATTCTTATAAGAGAATCCCTTAGACTGGGTGATTTATAAAGAAAAGAGGTTTATTTTGGCTCATGATTCTGTTGGTTGAAAAGTTCAAGATTGTGTGGCTACATCTGCTGGGAGCCTCGTGCTGTTCCCATTCATGGTGGAAAGTGGAGCCGGCATGTGCAAAGAGATCGCATGGCGAGTGATAAAGCAAGAGACAGAAACCAAGGAAGCCAGATTCTTTTTAATAATCCACTCTTGTGGGAGCTATTGCAGTACATTCCTGAGAGAGTGAGAACTTACCCACCCTCTGGGAGCACATTAATCTACGCATGAGGGATCCACTCCCATGACTTGATCACTTCCTACTAGGTCCCACTTCTCAACCCTGCCACATTGTGAATCAAATTCTGACATGAGTTTTAGGGGGGACAAATCACATCCAAACCATGGCAAGATTCTTTGTTGACAAAACTCACTCTATTTTCTCATTTTAGCCTGCAGTGTAGGGAATAGAAAAGAGATTGCCATTTATGATCACTACCTAAGTGCTAGACACTTTGAGATAAATTATCTTTTTAATATAAACAAAGAGATATGATCTCCAATACTTTGGATATGATCTACAATACTTTGTAATATTGGAAAAAAATTCCATATTTTTCCCTAAGAAAATTTAAGACATTTGAGGTAGAATGGTAGACCAGTTAGGTTGAGGCTGATGGCTTGATTGCTCTAATAAGGCTGAAGAGAGAGAGAAAAGATACACAGAGGGCAGGTCCAGATGGTGGCTGGCATATTTAGGTTCAGTTTTGCAACAGGAAAGTCTATATTTGTTTTTTTTTCTTCTAAGCCAATAGGATATTTATTTTTAAAGAGCAACTGGATCCCTGAACTCCAGATAAAACACCAGAGATTAGATTGATGGGTCAGCATTTTATAATTTGTTTTTGCACACTGTCTTATTTTGTCAAAATATTTCTGTTTGAGGCATAAATGTGAAACTTTCATGTTTGGAATAGCTTTGTTGATAATTGGAATATTTTCAGTAATAATCTGTATACCAACTGCATTGAGAGCCCTTTCATAAATAAAAAAATTTTCTCAGAATATTATCTATCCTCTTTTTATAGTCTGCAAATGATTCTGAATAGTTTACCAGAGTGGATTGAATGTTTGCATTTTAAAAGGAAGTCATTATAGAAGATAAGAAAGAATAAATGGCAACTGGATGTTTCTTTTGGCAGGGACCATATGTAGCAGCTTTTGCTTCATCAAACCTGGGAGATGTGTCCCCCAACATTCTCGGCCCACATTGCATCAACACGGGAGAATCTTGTGATAACGCCAATAGCACTTGTCCCATTGGTGGGGTAGGTAATTATGGCACATAAATTCTTTGTTTTTGCATCTCACGTGTGCTTCATGTTTGGATATTTATCATTGATTTACAAATATGTTGTCCTCAAATATACACTGGCCTACTTACCTCTAGCATATGCTCTTCTCAAAAGCATCTGCCCACACCCACTAAATTTTGATCCGGTAAGGTTCTATTTTTCCATATAAGTGACTGTTAAGTTTTTTTGAATGGTGAGACAATTTCGTAAGGGTCAGAGATTAACTGTCCTTCCCCAAACTTGGACAATCTGAAATGTTTTGCCTTGGCATTTCTGAAGTCAAAAGTTTGTACCAAAAAGTGCCTGCCTGAGACATTTGTCACCGATTTAAAGTCTATAGTTTTTTTTGGCCAGGTGCGATGGCTCATGCCTGTAATCCTAGCACTCTGGGAGGCTGAGGCGGGCTGATTGCTTGAGGTTAGGAGTTTGAAACCAGCTCTGAGCAAGAGCGAGACCCCCGTCTCTACTATAAATAGAAAGAAATTAATTTGCCAACTAATATATATATAGAAAAAAATTAGCCGGGCATGGTGGCACATGCCTGTAGTCCCAGCTACTTGGGAGGCTGAGGCAGCAGGATTGTTTGAGCCCAGGAGTTTGAGGTTGCTGTGAGCTAGGCTGACGCCATGGCACTCACTCTAGCCTGGGCAACAAAGTGAGACTCTGTCTCAAAAAAAAAAAAATAAATAAAATAAATAAAAAATAAAGTCTATAGTTTTTTACATAAGGTTGAAATTCCTTTTCCTTTCTGTGTGGTGGCTCATGCCTGTAATCCTAACACTCTGGGAGGCCAAGGCAGGAGGATGGCTCCAGTTCAGGAGTTCGAGACCAGCCTGAGCAAGAGGCGAGATCCTGTCTCTACTAAAAATAGAAAGAAATTATCTGGACAACTAAAAATATATATAGAAAAAATTACCCAGGCATGGTGGCGCATGCCTGTAGTCCCAGCTACTGGGGAGGCTGAGGCAGAAGGATTGCTTGAGCCCAGGAGTTTGAGGTTGCTGTGAACTGAGCTAACACCATGGCACTCTAGCCCGGGCAACAGAGTCAGACTCTCTCTCAAAAAAAAAAAAAAAAAATTACAAACAAAACATATTGGTGTAAAAAATTTAAACAATGTAGAAGCATACAAGGTAGTAAAAAGTGAGAATCCCTACTCATTTTCCTTTCCTCTATGTCCTGGCCTTCCTAGTAGTTACTATTACACACCTCTTCTTATGTATTTATGTATGTATTCAAAAACAAAATTTTATGAATTATTTATGTATTTTTTTTATTGGTCCAAGACCTGAGTTTTACACCTAGTTTGTCTTAGAAATCTGTTTATAATTATGTCTAGATCTGTGTAGTAATTTTTAAAGACAACAAGTAAGGCTATACCATCATTTATTTAATTGCTTTCCTCTAACGTTCATTTAGATTTGTTTTCAACTTTGATATGAACAGCTGATGTTAGTTTTTCAGCTCTTATTCTTGTGTTTGTAGAAGGCTTCACCTGTAATATTACTTTTATTATATGCTATTTCTGGGCTATTTATTCTATACCAGTCAATCCCACTCAATGAATAATATAGTTTCACAATTGTACTTTTATGTTACTATTTTTATATTGAAAATCTTTGTTGCTGTCCATTTGCAAAATTTTCACACATTATTAATTTGCGTTAAATTTTAAGATTACTTGTTAAATTTTAAAATTCATAGGTTAAATGGTTAAATAAATTATTAATTTCATACTTATTTGCAATAAAATATTATGCATTAGCTTAATGTCTTATGTTGGAATATTGACTAATGTGGGGAAAAGCTCATACTACACAATGTTGAGAAACTCAGGATTTAATATTATATATTCATTATGATTACAACTTCTAAAATACATGTATTATAATAAAAGGACAAAAGGAAACATCCTGAATGGTTAACCATGTTTTTTTCTTTTTGTCACTATTGTGATGAGGTTTTATTCTCCTATGTATGCATTTATGTATTTTTTTCTACAACGAGCATACTTTACTTTTATAATCAGAAAAAATTACAACAAAATCAAACCTCTCTCCCCCATAATAGAATCCTGTTTCCCTCTCTACCACTCCACATGTTGGACTGGTTTCCCTTCGGTTTGCCAGGTGCCCGCCGGCAGTAAGGAAGGCAGTATCCTTCCCACTGCTCCCAACAGTAGAAGTGAGAGGAAACCACTCCTTCCACCATGGAACGAAAATTCTCCTTTTCAGTCTGAAATGAGCCAATTTATGTCACATGCCCATCTCTGGGCCAAAACAGTTTCTTGGGAAATGGCAAGTGTTGTTTGGCTTAAGCTGGGATTCCTGAAACAATGTCTGTCGAGGCCTAGGAAATTGCCATGATTGCCTTAGATTTTTCTGGAACTAGAAACGGGATCAGCGTCCTCTGAGTCGCTTTGGCCACAGGGAGAGAGACAGCTATCTGAAAAAAATCAGGGTTCTCTTAAGAAACAGAAAGAATGGAATGGGTAAACATTGCCACGTCTTCTGCTTTGATGTGGTTTATTTAAAAAGTTTTTTTTTAATTTTAGAAATTGGCTTTAATGTTTTTTTTTTTTTTTTTTTTTTTTGAGACATAGTCTCACTCTGTTGCCCAGGCTAGAGTGAGTGCCATGGCGTCAGCCTAGCTCACAGCAACCTCAAACTCCTGGGCTCAAGCAATCCTCCTGCCTCAGCCTCCCGAGTAGCTGGGACTACAGGTGTGAGCCACCACACCCGGCCAGCTTTAATGTTTTAAAAAATGATATATGGTCATTAAAAATTTCAAGCAATATTGAAAAGTTCAGAAAATAAAAAACTTATCCCAAAGGGGCACCCCATCCCCCAACAATGATCACTACTGGTAAAATTTTAGTAAACAACCTTCTAGACAGCTTTTTATGTCTCTATCACATATCCACAAACACATGCTTACATAAATGGGATACTGTAATTCTATTCTATGACCTGCTTTTCATATTTTTAAGAAATATGCTCTAAAACACTGTTTAAACTGACTTTATAATTTTCTATTTTAAGTGCCGTAGTTAACCCATCCCCTACCAGTGGGTATTTTCTTTTTCTACCTCCTCCTTCCTTCACATGCTCTTTCCTGTCCATCTTCCATCCTTGCTTCATATAAGCATACTATGACCGCTATTCTTGTCATATGTATTTTCACACGTATATGAATCTCACCTTAAGATAAATTCTTAAAAGTGAGTTTGCTGTCAAAGAGAAAGTACATTTAACATATGCTAAACTGCCCAAATGACATTTCCACCCACAGTGTATGAATGACAGTTTCCCCAAACCCTCACCAAAACCAGATTTGTCACTCTTGTAATCTTTTCCAACACAAAATGCAAAGACTTATCTCTTCATCGTTTAAATTTACATTTAATTATTCACGAGATTGAACTTATTTTAATATTGAATGGCCATTTACATTGTTTTAAAATTCTGAATTACCTATTTCATCTACATGCTATGATGTATCCATTAGGATACTTTCTACTGCAAGTAAGAGAAAGCCCAACTCAATATAAATGAATCAAAAGGCATTAATAAGGTAGGCAGAGTGAGGTGGCTCACGCCGGCAATCCTAGCACTCTGGGAGGCTGAGACGGGAAGATTGCTTGAGGCCAGGAGTTTGAGACCAGCCTGAACAAGAATGAGACCCCATCTCTACAAAATGTAGAAAAAAATTAGCCGGGTATGGTGGCACGTGCCTGTAATCACAGCTGTTCAGGAGGCTGAGGCAGGAGAACTGCTTGAGCCCAGGAATTTGAGGTTGCTGTGAGCTATGAGGATGCCACTGCACTCTACCCTGGGTGACAAAGACTCTGTCTCAAAAAAAATAAAAATAAAAATAAAATAAAAAGAAAGAATGAATAAGGGTATTTTTTTCCTATTGACTTTTGAAAGCTCATAATATATTAAAGTCTTAGTTTTGTCAAATCAGAGCAAATTTTTCTCCTGGTTTATCAGTTGTCTTTCAGCCTTATTTATGTTTTTTTTTTTTGCCTATATGAATATTTAAAAAGTTTAAGCACTCACATTTAATTAAACTTGTTCTAGATAATTTTTAGAAGGGTCTTCCATACCTTTAGGTTATGAAATATATTCACCCATATTTTCACTTAATACTTTTTAAATTCCATTTATAATATTTGAGTGTTTGATCAATCTTCAATTTTTCTGATGTAAGAAGTAGGAAATATGGCTAGGTGTATTTATTGATTTTTTTTTAGAGGGCAAGCTAGTTGCTCCAATATAATTTTAACTGAGTTTCAATCTAAGGTGCATGAGCAAGAGCCATAGGCAAGAACAAGCGAGTGGAAAGACAGGCAGCAGATGGAAAGACCTGGCTTCAAGTCTTAGCTCAGACATTAGCTACCTGTATAGTCCCCAACTAACCCCTTAACCCACCTAAGCCTCAATTTACTTATTTTTAAAAGGTGCTGGAGGAGATCATTTCTAAAGACAGTCACTGCCCCAATTCCATGTATGATTTTGTTTATTATAGTTGTTCATTGAGAGAATATCTGAAAAGAAATACTAGAATATGGTTTAAAAATCTATTTTCATAAATTCAGATGTGATTTTCCGTTTCCTAAAATAATTGCTTATTTCACTAAGAATGCACCTTGTTTCATTTTGTTCCAGTCTAGCATGTGTATGGCTATGGGACCTGGACGGGATATGCTTGACAGCACACAGATTATAGGACGGACTATATATCAGAGAGCAAAGGTAAGCCATGGGCCTCATCCTTTCATCTTCTTTTGAAATTGCTCTTTAAGATCCACTGACAGTGCTCATTAGGAAGTCAAGAATTGTAAGGAAGACAGTAAAAGCGCAGGCTGTGCAGGGGAGGCTGGAAGGGTCAGCTTGGAAGGTCGCCTTCAAAAGCCACACGGGAACCTCTCCCTGACTGCTCGGGTCTGACTTTTACAGGAAGTACATCTAAAACCAAGTCATCAGGAAAACATTCTATTTTAGGATGTTTAGGAAGCCAGAGCGCTGGCTTCAGACAGCAGCAAGATAGGTAGATTGTAAAGTTTTCAATTAACGTGCCATCAGATATGACCAGACTGATCCAAATTCTCGGAAGTCTCTCAGGCTTTTGCCTGCCAAAGTCACCTGACTGTTTCTTAACTTTTGCTTTTGTGACAAGGAGAAGCTTTGAACTGGCACATCTCTCAGTTCTTGCAACTTAGATTCAAGTTAGTTCCTAGGCTTCCTTTTCTTATTAAAAGATGAGGAAATCTCCTTCAACTTCTATGGTGAGGTTATTATGACTTAACTCCTCCCCCTCCTACATTTTATCTACCATTTTGTCCCCATATTTTGTTTCCGCTTCTATGGAGACAGATTTCCGAGTGAAAGACAAAAGATGACTTTGAACTGAGATGTCCCTGATAAAGATAGTTAAATCCTTTTCTTTTTGCAGCTTACTCAGACCTTTGTCGTGCATGTGTGCATGTGTGTATGTGTGTGTGTATGTGTTTAAGTAAATAATTTATCCCATGGGTTCTAAAATGTTTCGGCAGCAATTAAGAAAGAAAAAAGCACCTTTAAAAACATCAGATGCAAAATTGGTAGCAGCAGCCAGCCTAATTGCTGCAGTTTCTTTTTAATTACTGTGGTATTGTCAGTGGATTATTCTAAATTAACAGATTCTCTTTAGAGTGTGCACCCATGACACACTTTAGTGTCAGAAATTTTGTTCCCGTTCTGGGCCCGGGAGCCATAGAGATTTGTCCCACATTCTGGATTCTCTTCTCAGCAAGGCACAGCTTCCCTGTTAATTAGGAGAGACAGGCTGCAGCTGTTGTTGCCGATGATTTATCTTGAGCGCTCATGAGCTGGGTGCCAGGCAAGGGGACTTGTGCTGAAACAGGATTTGCCTATTGTATAATAACCATCAATAAAAACAAACATTTCTAAACATGTTTTGACTCACATTTGTCAAAAGATTGAAAAAGCATAAATTGACCATATTAAAAAACAAAAACAAAAGCACCAGAGGGAGGATTATGGGCGGGGAAACTGATGCAGGTGAAATGGGGTCTCAAGGCTTCCCAGCCTGACTTTTGAGGGCCAGTCCTGTTGGAGAACTGAGAGGAAGACTCCAATAAGAACACCCTAGAATACACTCTCATTCTGGCAAAGAAAGTAATTTGGCCCACGTATTCCTAATCTTCTTGACTGCCTTTCAAGTGAGACTGGGGTCTTTTGTACCATAGCCTGTATCGCTAGGATTTTAGTTTTGTGGGGAGTAGATACAGGTCAACAGTCTCAGAGACGTCAAGCTCCTGGGAAACTACTGGGGTTGGTAGAGAGACCCACCTGGGAGGTGGCTGTTTCCAAGAAGCCAGCAAAACAAAAGCTTTGTGAAGAGATGCTTTTCCAAATTGGTACTTCCTGAGAACAGTTGGTAGTATTCACGTCACCGTTTTTGCTTGGAACAGTGAGCCTGTGTGTTTTCTAGGAACTGTACGCCTCCGCCTCGGAGGAGGTAACCGGACCCCTGGCGGCGGCGCACCAGTGGGTGAACATGACGGATGTGACCGTCTGGCTCAATTCCACACACGCGGTAAGTGCCACTGAGTCACACTGGTTATGTCGCCAGGGTAAAACTCTGGGTTGATCTCATTATTTATTTTCAGCGTAACTTATGTTCCTTTTTTGGTTTTTGTCTTGTTTTTAAAACCTTTCCTTTAGGCAAAAACATGTAAACCAGCACTGGGCTACAGTTTCGCCGCTGGCACGATTGACGGAGTTGCAGGCCTCAACTTTACGCAGGGTGAGGTGAAGTCTGATGAAATCTGTGGTTCCAGATTCGGAAGCTTCAGGGCTCTGTTCTTTAATACGGTTTCACTGTAGCCAATACCTTTATTATTTTTATGTTTAAACTCAGGGGTCTGCTGGTTTTCCAGGTCTGTACATGACAGCCCAGATTTCCCAGGGATAGGTGTCTTTTGTGACTTAGCTTTTCATTAATTCAAATATAATCAGAGACAAATTCTCTTTGCATTTCAATGTGTTGATGAATAATTTTACATTGGGCTGGGCTGAGTTGAGGGGGTGAGGAGGGAGATTGTTGAACAATATGAACCATCAACAGTATGAATTATCGTATGAATTGTCGCGTCGCTCTGATTCTTTTAATGGAACCAGTATTCTTCAGGGCAGAGGCCTTTAGGAACTTAAAGCATGTGGCCTCAGGTCCTCTTTCTACAAATTTGTAACTGATTATTTTAGATTTTATATTTTTACCCCTGACTGAAATCACTGTAATAATATGCGTTGTAAAGTAGAAAAAGTGAAAAAAAATTGAAGACTACTACCCACATGCATCATTTTGGCTCATTTTATTCTTGTCTTTTATATATGTATACAGTTGACCCTTTAACAATGTGGGGGTTAGAGAAACTTACCCCTTGCACAGCCAAAAATGTGTATATAACTTTTGACTCCTCCCAAATATAACTACTAATAGCTGACTGGAAACCGTACTGGTAACATAAACAGCCAATTAACACATAATTTGTATGTTACATGTATTATAAACTGTATTATATTCACAGGTATATGCAACCATCACCACGTTTTTGAGGTTCATCTATGTTGTAGCATGCATTAGTACTTCATTCCTTTTTGTGGCTGAATAATATTCCATTGATATACAAGGTTTTGTTTAAACTTTTCTTGGTTGATTGACATTTGGGTTGTTCCATTTTTGGCTATTAGTAATGCTGCTATAAATATTCATGTACAAGTTTTTGTGTGGGTTAATGTTTTAATTTTTCCTGTGGGGTATATATCTAGGAGTAGAACTGATAGATGATAAAACTTTATGTTTAATCATCTGAGGAATTGCTAGACTGTTTCTAAAGGGCTGCACCATTTGATTCCCACCAGCAGTGTTTAGGGTTTTGATTTTTCCACATCTTCATAAATATTTGTCATTGACTTAGCAAATCTAACCACCCTACTGAGTGTGGAGTGGTAGTTCTTTGTGATTTTGATTTGAATTTCCCTGATGATTAATGATGTCAAACATGTTTTCCTATGCTTATTGGCTATTTGTATATCTTCCTTGGAGAAATGTGTATTCACATATTTTTCTCATTTTAAATTTGGATTTTTTGGTCTTCTTCTTATTGAGTTATAAGTGTTCTTTGTGTATTCTGTATACAAGTCCTTTATCAGATATATCATTTGAAAATATTTTCTTCCATTCTGTGGGTTGTCTGTTTACTTTCCTGATTGTGTTCTCAGAAACACAAAAGTTTTAAATTTGTATTAAGTCTAAATTATCTATTTTTTTTTGTTACTCATGGTTTGTTGTCATATATAAGAATCTTTTGCCAAGTTCAGTGTGATGAAAATTTACCCCTGTTTTTCTAAAAGTTTAATAGTTTTAGCTCATACATTTAAGTCTTTCACCCATTTTAAGTTAATTTTTATATGTGGTGTGAGGTAACGGTCCACCTTTGCTATTTTTATATATGGCTATCCTGTTATCCCAGCATCATTTATTGAAAAGACATGGGGTACAGTGGCTCAGTGTAATCCTAGCACTCTGGGAGGCTGAGGTGGGAGGATCGCTTGAATTCAGGAGTTCAAGACCAGCCTGAGCAAGAATGAGACCCTGTCTCTACTAAAAAAAAAAAAAAAAAAAATAGAAAAATTAGCCAATGGGGTGACACACACCTCTAGTCCCAGCTACTTGGGAGGCTGAGACAGGAGGATTACTCGAACTCAGGAATTTGATTTTGTAGTGAGCTATGATGATACTACTGCACTCTAGCCCCTAGCCTGGGTGACAGAGTGAGACTCTGTCCCAGAAAAAAAAAAAAAAAGAAAGAAAGAAAGAAAGAAAGAAAGAAAGAAAGAAAGAGAAAGAAAGAAAAGAAAAGAAAAGAAAAGACAAGACAAGACTGTCCTTTACCCACTAAATAATATTGGCATACTTGTTAAAAATTAGTTGACCATAGACATGTGGTTTTATTTCTAGATTCTCAATTCTGTTTCATTGATCTATATGCCTAGTCTTGTGCCAGTATCATTCTGTCTTGGTCGCTGTTTATTTTATATTGGAATGTATGAGTCCTCCTACTTTGTTTTTCTTTTCCAAGATTGTTTTGACTATTCTGGGTCCTTTATAAATACACATGAATTTTAGAATCAGCTTATAAATTTCTACAAAGAAGTCAGCTGGGATTCTGATAAGAATTGCATTGAATCAGTAGACTAATTTGGGAAGTATTGCCATCTTAACAATATTACATCTTCTGATCCATGGACATGGATGTTTTGCCATATATTTACATCTTCTTTAATTATTTCAACAATGCTTTTTGGTTTACAGAGTATAAGTTTTATAATTCTTTTGTTAAATTTATTTCTAAGTATTTTATACTTTTTGATATTATAAGTGGAATTGTTTTCTTAATTTCATCTTTGGATTTTTCATAGAAAGTATATAAATATACATTTGATTTTGTATATTGACTTTGTATCCTGCAACATTGCTGAATTCATTTATTCTATTTTTTATGGGTTATTTAGGGTTTTCCTTTCTTTTCTTCCCCTCCCCTCCCTTCCTTTTCCCTCCTCTCTTCTCCTCTTTTTTCTTTCTTTTTCTTTTCTTTCTATTAGAGACAGGGTCTTGCTCTGTCACCCAGGCTAGAGTGTGGTGGCCCAATCACAGCTCACTGCAACCTCCAACTCCTGGGCTCAAGCAATCTTCCATCTGCAGCCTCCCGAGTAGCAAATGTGCCACCACATTTGGCTAATTTTAAAATTTTTTTGTAGAGATGGGGTCTTGAACTTCTGGCTTCAAGTAATCCTCCTGCTTTGGCTTCCCAAAGTGCTAGGATTACAGGATTGAGCCACCATGCCAGGTTTAGGGCTTTCTATATATAAGATCATGTTATCTACAAATAGACATAGTTTTAATTCTTCCTTTCCAATCTCAATGACTTTTATTTATTTTTCTGGCCAGAACCTTCAGCACAATGTTGAATAGAATTGGCAAGAATATATATTTTGTGTTGTTCCTAATGGTAGGGGGAAAGTATTCAGTCATTTATCATCAAGTATGATGTTAACTGTGGGTTTTTTATTGATGCCTTTTATCAGGTTGAAGAAGTGACTTCTATTTCTGGTTTGTTGAGTGATATTATCATGAAACAGTATCAGATTTTTGTCAAATGTTTTTTTCTGTGTCTGTTGAGATGATCATGTGATTTAAAAAAATTCTATTAGTATGTTTATTATACTACATTAATCAATTTTTGAATGTTAAACCTACCTTGCATTCCTAGAATAAATCATAGTTAGGCATGGTATATAAAAATTCTTTCTATATGTTGCTGTATTCAGTTTGCTAGTATTTTGTTGAAGATTTTTTTTTTTTTTTTGAGACAGAGTCTCACTCTGTTGCCCCGGCTAGAGTGAGTGCCCTGGCGTCAGCCTAGCTCACAGCAACCTCAAACTCCTGGGCTCAAGCAATCCTCCTTCCTCAGCCTCCTGATTAGCTGGGCCTACAGGCATGCGCCACCATGCCCGGCTAATTTTTTCTATATATTTTTAGTTGGCCAATTACTTTCTTTCTATTTTTAGTAGAGATGGGGTCTTGCTCTTGCTCAGAGCTGGTTTTGAACTCCTGACCTTGAGCGATCCACCCACCTCGGCCTCCCAGAGTGCTAGGATTACAGGTGTGAGCCACTGTGCCCGGCCTGTTATAGATTTTTATGTGTGCATTCATAAGAAATATTAATCTGTTGTTTTCTTTTCTCGTGGTATCTTTGTGTGGTTTTGTATCGGTAATATTGGCCTCATAGAATAAAGTTAAGAAGTATTCTGTCTTCTATGTTTTGGGAAGAGTTTTTGTAAAGTTGGTATTAATTCTTCTCTGTTTGGTAGAATTCAGCAATGAAGCCATCTGAGCTGGGTTATTTTTTGTAGGTAATTTTCTTAAAATATTACTAATTCAATCTCTTTACTTTTTATAGGCCTATTTTTTAGGCCTATTTCTCCTTAAGTCAGTTTTGATAGTTTGTGTCTCTCTAGAAATTTGTCTGTTTCATCTAAGCTATCTAATTTATTGGCATATAGTTATTTATATTCAGTATTCCTTTATAATTCTTTTTATTTCTTTAAAGTTAATATTAATTTATGATTCCAGTAATTTAAATCTTCTCTCAGCCTTTCTTGGGCAATCTAGTTAAAGGCTTGTCAATTTTGTTGATTTTGTGAAGGAACCAGCTTTTGTTTTTAATTAATTTTCTCTATTGTTTTTTCATGCTCCGCTTAATTAATTTTTTATAATCTTTATTTCCTTCTTTTTGCTTGATTTAGGTTTATTTACTCTTCTTTTTCATTGTCTTGAGGTAGAAGTTAGGTTATTGGTTTGAGATCTTTCTTCTTTATTAATATGGGCATATAAAGCTATAATTTTCCCACTGAGCACTGCTGTCACTGCATCCCATAAGTTTGGATGTGTTGGGTCTTCATTTTCATTAATCATAAAGTATTGGATTTTCATTTGACTGCTTCTTTGATCATTAGCTATTTAGGATCATGCTACTTAAGTTTACATATTTGTGAGTTTCCCCAATTTTTTCCTGTTACTTATTTCTTATTTCATTTCATTGTAGTTGAAAACATACTTTGTGTTATTTCTACCCTTTACAATTTATTGAGGTTTGTTTTATAACCAGTACATGATATATTCAGGATAATGTTCCATGTACACTTAGGAAGAATGTATAGTCTTTTGTTGTTGGATGGAGTATTCTATAGGTTGTCTATTAGATCTAGTTGGTTTCTAGTGTTGTTCAAGTTTTCTGTTTCCTTTTGATCTTCTGCCTAGTTGTCCTATCCATTAGTGAAAATGAATTATTGAAAGTTCCACTATTATTGTTGAATTCTTTATTCCTCCCTTTGTTTCTGTCATTTTTAGCTCATGTATTTGGTAATGTGTTGTTAGGTACACATGTTGTTGGAGTATAGATTCTCAATTTCATAGATTTTATAGTTAACAAAACTTTCCCCCCATATTGTGCATTTTAGGTTTGGTTTTTGGTTTTTACTGCTTGTGGGGTGTGTGTGTGTGTGTGAGAAAGAGAGAGAGAGAGAGAGAGAGAGAGAGAGAGAGAGAGAGAAAATTTCTTTCAGGGACCACAAGTCAGACAACTAGTATTGTGAGTTGGAGGTGTTACTTTTAATTTTCAAAACAGGAAATGGGTGAGTTAGTTTATAAATCTACAGTTAATTATGTCAGATTTTTTTTTTTTGCAACATGGATGAACAAGAGTAATAGAAACAAAACTTTAAGAATATTGATTAAAATATCTTCTGTTATTCTCTTGGCCACACTGAGGATCTAATTAAATAATGGCTCTTGTTTTATGATGCACAGGAAATTCTATCTTTTGTATTAATATTATTCAAACTGGTTGGAATCATCAAACAACAACCTTAATAAAATATATGAAGCTCCTAGAAGGATTATTGTACAATATTTATCAGAATAATGACTTGTTTCAGGGAATTATGTTAATCATAACATTCCTAATAGGGACAACAGAAGGGGATCCATTTTGGGACACCATTCGGGACCAGCTCCTGGGCAAGCCATCTGAAGAAATCAAAGAATGTCATAAGCCAAAGCCAATCCTCCTTCACACTGGAGAGGTGATGCATTTTCATTATCATAGTGACATTAGCATAATGTTATTTTTAAATTTGTAAACTGTCAGGTAATGAACGGTAGATATCTACTGAGATGGGAGGTGTTATTTAGATATTTTCAAATCAAATCTTTGAATATTAAAATATGAGTGCTATAAGTCTAACTCTAAGAAATAAGTGTTATGATTAGTAAATATATTGATTCCCTTTATAGCATTTTGTAAGTAAATGAAACAATTAGAATAATGGGAAAGGAAGAATAAGATTAACATTTATCTTATTTGGAATTCATTTACATTGGTTCCAGGAAGGGAGTCCAGATAGAATTCTCCACAGAGGAAAACATCTCAGGTCATATAAAAAGAAACACGTTCATGTTTCAATTTTCTCACGATTCAGGCAACATTATTAACTAAAACAATTTTCTTTTAACACTCTTTTAGAACATATATTTTCACATTCTCAGTGTCAAAATATCATTCCAGTATTCATAAAAAACATGGATTATTGAAATAGAAACATTTTAAAAATAGATTTTTTTCCAATATTCTATTAAAAATTTTGGGAAAAAAAAGAGAGGAAAGGAAGGAATGGAGGGATAGACTCTATAGTAATCTGAATATGGAAAAGGACAGATTCTCTTGGAGAAACCTAGAAAATAAGGCAAGACTTAGGAACTGTAAACTTAAAGTGCTAGTAGAATAAAAAGAGAAATCATTAAGTTAAACTATTCCAAATGGAATTCTTTATCTTATATAAGGATAGTGACTCATAATACTATAGGTGAACCCTGGGTTATCTGCTACACATTGTGATTTGATAATGACAAATCCACCAAAAACTTCATTAATCAGTCCAGGCTAATGGGGCATTGACATTTGAGATTCACATGTTATGACCAGGATGTAAATACTGATATAGAATGTTTAATACTACATCATAAATTAGAAATAAATCCTATAATACGATAAAAAAACCCAAATCAGCTTGAGACATTTCAAACGCTTTAATAAAGGAGTTTCTGTGGCCATCATCTGTCTGTTCCTCATAAAAAGAATAACGTTTCTAATACCATTTTTTGGGGGATTCTTAGCTATCAAAACCTCACCCCTGGCATCCAGATATCATTGATGTTCAGATTATTACTCTTGGATCCTTGGCCATAAGTGCTATCCCTGGGGAGCTTACGTAAGTTCTTCTTTTTATTTCTTAGTTAAAAGTGTGTTTATTTTGTGTGCATTTCTATTGGAATCATTTCTTATGGGGAGATAATTTTTTACTGACCTTTTGGTATCCTACTGAACTATTTGGCAGCAGTGACAAATATTCCAACCCTTGTTGGTTGGGGCCTCTGAAGAATAAATTTCCATTTGCCTATTACTGGTGGCTAACTCGAAGCAAACATGAAAATGTAAAAACATATTCCAAATGAAAATGATGCCATGAATTATTATGTCAGTAGAAAGACTTGAAATATTAAATGGAGGTATTTGAAACAATCAATTTAGGTATTAAAATCACGAAAGAATGTTTTAAACCTGCTTGTTATGCAATCTTTCCTATCTCAGTAAGTGCAATTTTATATCTTGCCAGCTCATCAGGCCCTTTGTCTTGGAGTCATCCCTGAATTCTCTATTTTTCTATTTTTTCCTCTTTCACCCCTTTAGCAAATTTTGTATATTATACCCAAGACTTTCTGTCACTTCCCCCCAGTCTAAGCTACCATGATCTCTCACCCAGATTATTGCAATAATCTTAATTATTTACTTAATCCCACCCTTACTCCTCTACAGTCTTTTTTCAGAATAGTAGCCAGATTAAACCTTTTAAAACATAAGTTAAATCATGCCACTTCTCTGCTTAAAACCACCCAACAGCTTCCCATCTCATTCCAGGTAAATCCTCAAACCTACAAGCTCCTACACGCTCTGGTCCTCAACAATTTCTCTGATCCAATTTTTTACCTGTTTCTCCTTTGCTCCCCTCTGCTCCAGCCACCTTGATTTCACTGTACTTCCTAGACTCATCAGGGATGCTCTTGTTTCAGGGCCTTTGAACTTATGGTTCCTTCTGCCTAGAATGTTTTCCCTTCAGTTATCCCCATGGCCAAGTTTTTTTTCCTTCAATTCTTTGCTCAAATCTCTAATAGGGGTGCCAGTCCTGCTCGCACTGTGTAAAATAGTCTTCACCTACCACTGCCACTGCCACCACCACCTCCCCCTACCAGCAATGGCCTTACCACCATCATCACCACAGTGGCCACCACCACTCCCTTTCACCCTTCCCCTGCTGGATTATTCTCTATGGCGCTTATTGTCATCTCACTTTTTAATGAGCTCCATGCTGCTGAATCCTTAGCTCCCTGAAGTGGGCCTGGTATATAGTAGATGCTCAGTGCTTTATTGAAGGATTCAGTGAATGAAAGAAATGCCGAGTTCCTCGTAGGCAGGAACAGTAGTACACTTTCTACCTGCCTCAGCTCTTATTATTAACCACATAGAATGCAGCCGATATATTTTGTTGACTCAAGAATGGGAAATGATGGTGATCTTTTACCAGTGATGTTCACTGATTCTGTTTACCCCGTTTGGTCAAATGGACTGTTTTCAGGTTAGAATTTGTTTTAAAGTTAGGATAGTCAGGGAAAAAAGCTCAAGTTTAGCTCTGCATCATCATTGAATTCCTACATGTTTTACTATTGTGTAATGAACCAGGGTGACTTTTTGACTTTCACTGCAAGTCTTTCTGTATCTTGGAACACATTCCAAATAGGGAAACATTTACGCAATTCTGTCTTCTTGACTCAGGACAATGTCTGGACGAAGACTTCGAGAGGCAGTTCAAGCAGTAAGTTAAAAATGAAATGGCCGGGCGCAGTGGCTCACGCCTGTGATCCTAGCACTCTGGGAGGCCAAGGCGGGAGGATTGCTTGAGCTCAGGAGTTCGAGACCAGCCTGAGCAAGAGCGAGACCCCGTCTCTGCTATAAATAGAAAGAAATTAGCCAAAAATAGAAAAAAAAATGAGCTGAGCATGGTGGCGCATGCCTGTAGTCCCAGCTACCTGGGAGGCTGAAGCAGGAGGATCACTTGAGCTCAGGAGTTTGAGGTTACTGTGAGATAGGCTGATGCCACAGCACTCTAGCCTGGGCAACAGAGTGAGACTCTGTCTCAAAAAAAAAAAAAAAAAAAAGCAAAATAAATAAATAAAATGTCCATACGTTCATAATTGTACAAAGGAAAGAATTCTTTATTTCTGTGATCTGGTACCTTTTAAATTAATCCTTCCTAAGATGACTAAAGTTGCACATTTCTTGAAATTATTGGCTAGAGGTGAATATGAAATATTGGTGGTAGAAGAACCAAACTCAAAAAATATGAGGGAACTATCATGTTAAAAATATTTTATTGGTATTTATATATTAATAATTTGAACAATAATGGTTTTATAGATTAAATAGTAGATAACCACTACATACCTTAATATCTTAAATTCCTATGAACAGTCTAAATAAAATGTATCACATTTGGAGAATTTTTTATTTTATTTGTACTGTATTAATGATTATTTTTATATTCAAGAAGTATTGTAATGGTTCTAAAATGACATAACAAATGTCTTGTTACTTGGAACTGAAAATAACTATTCTGGCTAGCTAATATCTACCCATTACATTTTTTAGGAAATTGATTTAAAAATCTTTGTTTTAGCAAAAAGAAGATTCTACACCTGCAAATGTGACCATTAAGATTTTCACAGATCCATTGATTTGTCCAACTGTAATGCAGAATTATCGCTCTAACTTTTCATCAAGGACTCTTTGATACCCAGGAAGTTTTAATCATGGGGAAGAATTTTGTTAAAAGAGACATCTTACACTAATAATTCACATTAATGATTGTGTGTTAAATGTAACGGATAATAATATACTCTAAGATGAAGAGTAATTTTATTACTTTTTCCCTTACCTTTTCCCTCCTAGGAATTTGCATCATATGGGATGCAGAATATGACTGTTGTTATTGCTGGCCTATGCAATGTCTATACTCATTACATTGCCACTTATGAAGAATACCAGGTAAAGTAAAAATTTCTCATCATTTAAATGAATTATACCCAGATCAAGACTATTGTGTTAAATACACTTTCTTTGTAAACTTCCCCAACTTGTTTCTGAGAGATTACTTTAGGTAGGGCAGATAAGAGAATGCTAAATCAGACGCTTATCATTTATCATTTGGGAGTTTCAAGTTTATCATTTCCAAGTTCAGGTCAGAATTCTAGTCTCACTGGCTTCTGCTTTCCCTAAAATCAATTATTTTGTCAGGGACACTGATAATAAGCCTAGTTTGTGCCCTTCAACATTCCTAACTCTATTCATAATGCATTCGATACCTTAAGCCTCTGTAAGACCTGGGAAAACTCCTACTGATAGCTGCTATTTATTGAATGCACTAGTTAAGCACTTTGCAAGTGTAATCTTAAGTAATCCTCACAGTATGTCTTGAAGTAGGGTATTATTATATCCATGACATACATTAAGAAACAGAGTCCCAGAAAGCCTGGAGGAGGATAGGGCTGCTAATGTTTCCTTGCTTATAAATAGTTCAGAAAGCAGCCCAAGTACTTATTAACCATAGTAGTTATAAATATTCAAACGGTCTAGAGTCACACAATCAATGACTTCTAATATATCTGCTGGAATATCATGGCAGTCCAGACAGAGGCATGCACTCTATCCCTTGGCAAATATTCAGTGATACTAGGAGTGGAATCTGTCCTGCTGCCCCCTGTTGGCTTTACTGAAGGCTCCCTGCCTTGTAGGAAATTGAATAAGGTCTTAACAGAGGTGAACTTGGATAGGAATAATTACATCCTTTTCCTACTATTCTCTATCTTTAGCATTTCCTTCAATTATAAATGTAGGCAGCAAACAAAAAATAATTTTAGCAGTACCTCTGACTATCACCAAGAGGAACTAGATATTTTCATATCATATACAGTTGTAGATCTGGAAATATCTTTTATTCTTATCGCTGTTTTTAAATCACAGTAGTTATTAGATCTGCTGCTAGATCTTGGTATTCAATAGCATAATAAAGAAGCATATAAGTTACTATATCACAAAATCGGCTTATTGTAGTTTGGTGAATGTGTTTCAGTCTAATTGGTTTCCTTTGTCAATCTCATGTATTTTATTCATTTAGAAACATTATTCTGAGAGAGGTCCTTAGTTGTCAACAGACTACCAAAGAAGTCCATGGCACAAACAAGCTTAAGAACTCCTATTATCTTGTCTCCTGGTTGAGCTATATGCTTCTGCAAGGATTACTATTAATTAATTTGTTCATTCAACAGATAGGTGTTGTGACAGATACTGTACTAGCCACTTTCTGAGACATGACAATGAAAAGAATCTGTCCTTGTGCTCAAGACCACTGGAAATTCATGGTCTAGTACAAAGAGGAAAGCAGATGTTAAATTTCCATGAAAGGCATGCACAAGGTGATAGAAAAATAAGGAGAAAGAACACCAGTGTAGACTGGGTTTTTGAGGAATGGGACTGTTCAGGATGATATAACATCTGTCTGAGTTTTTGAGAACCAATGAGTGTTAGGCAAATAAAAATTAAGAAGGTGTTCCATATAGAGGGAACGACATATGCAAAGGTCTGGAGGGGCAGACTCAGCACATCAATGGACAATAATTGGTTGAGAACCATTGAGTAAGTATGTTGAGGGGGATGGTAATGTGACAGGGCTAGGGTGGGAGGCAGGGGTTAGTTGATGGAGTCTTACAAGCTATGCTAAAGGGCTTTGACTCAATAAGGAAGGCTTTGGGGAACTGCTGTAGGATTCAAAGCAAGAGAATGCTCTGATCAAATTTATGATTTAGAAAGGACAATAGGAAGGAAGTGTAGAAAATGAATTTTGGAAGGGAATGTGTAGAGGTAGAGAGTTGATTAAAAAGTTGTAGTTAGGATCTAGGTGAGAGATCAGGGTTTGAATAAGGTAAAAGCAGTAGAGACAGGAAAATGGAAGAACTCAACAGATTTTAAGGAGGTAGAACTGCCAGATTTGGAGCCTTACAGGATGTAGAGAGAGGAGTCTAAGGTAACTGCCAGCTGATCCTCATGTGGGAGACCTCAGTCATTCACTGAGGTGAAGAATGTTGGAGGGGAAGCTGGTATGTCTGTGATGAATGATGAGGTCTGTTTTAGATTAGATGACTTCAGGGTTTCTGTGGAACAACCAAAGGGTTGGAGGCTAGGTGAAAGGAGATGCATTGGCTCTCTTTCATGGATCCACAATGGATTAAACATCCTTCTCCAGTTAGTACCATCAGCATGCAATTTATCCAGGAGTTACTAGGACTCTTTTTTCTTTTCTGTTTTCTACTGATGCATGCCCTGGGGGGAAACATTAATATTGCAAATACTTGCAATTGACCAAAGCTCAGGAGCTTGCACTCTCTTTCAGATTAAATAGAGTGACAGTTTAAATAGCATAAGCAAAGAGAATCCAGTGCCTTTAACAAGTAGTTGATGGGAGCCATTTACTTTGGCTGGTAAATGGAAATGTCCATCTTTTTTTGTCATAAACAATCTCGAAGATTCTGCCAGTTTTGAATTATGTGAGATGTTCAAGCATCACCCTCATCTAAAATGCTACACCTCTGTAAACCGATAGAACTATGTGCAGAACTATGTACAACTTCCCCTCCCTCTCCTACAGGTGCAACGATACGAGGCAGCATCTACAATTTATGGGCCACACACTCTGTCTGCCTACATCCAGCTCTTCAGAGGCCTTGCTAAGGCCATTGCTACGGTAATCGAATAGTGTGTGTGTGTGTGTGTGTGTGTGTGTGTGTGTGTTGAGGGGGGTTAGGGTGAGGAAATGTATGGAGAAGTGAAACAGAACCTTAGCTTTGAGTGTTCAGTTTCTTTGACAACCTTTATATTTTAAAAAGTTATAGCAATGTGGTATCTCTAAGAAAAGAAATGAAATTTTACTGACAATAAAATTCAGATTTAGTTAACATTCTTTAGTAGTGGCAGCTTTTTTCATACAGGGCATCTCATTATCCTTACAACCATGACATGAAGTAAGGAGATCTCAATTTCCTCCATTTTTCAGATGAGCAAATAGGCTTGGAGATAAGTGATCAAGCTAATTATAATGATAGCCATAACCATAACTGTAACTGAGTTGGGCCAGTGTTCTCTAATCTTTGCCAGATTTTCTGCCCTCTGAGAGTTGAGTTAGGTCATCACTTCTGAAAGGCCCATTTTTCACATTACTATATCTGTGAAATAGGGATGCATTTTTTAATCAGAGGACTCTTATGACTATGTTTTGTAGCATGTTTTTACTTTCTTAGTGGTTCAAAAAAGAATATAAGTTGTTATAATCAATGGAGGTTTATGTTTGATGAAATACAGCAGTACCTTGGAATGCAACATTGCAGCTACCTAAAATACATACAGCTGAACAAGTTTACTTAATTTAAAGCAGCTTCACTTGTGGAAATCTTCCTTCTTGGATGTAGTTACTTATGAAGCTATAATTGTGGTGTCAGAAGATCAGTCAATAAACAGGATAAAGAGCTTAAAATAATAAAACAGACCCTTATATAATATCATAGACGCCTCAATAAAAGCTGTAAAACAATTATAGCATAGCAAAGACAATAAATCCCTTTTAAAGAAAGAGCTTGGATGTATTAGATTGAAACAAATGAAATCACTGTTTCTATAGGTCAAATCAGTTGAATACTGGCAATTTCAACATATGTCTCCATCATTAGTTGATGATCGTGTGTTTGAAATTTCAGTACAACATATTTACTTTGCATATATTTTAATACTTGATTTTTGTTTTATCTTAATGTTACTGTCTGTTTTAGGTTTGTTGTTTTTTCCAAAGTAGAACTATATTTATTTATATCATGAAAGCTAAACCTGCTTATATGATATTCAGATTGTACAGAGTATAAACCTATAACCCATCCCTAGAGATAGCCACTGTTTAAATTTCATTATAGTCATAGGTCTATAGTTCTTCCCAAAAAAGTAGATTCTTCAAATTTTATAGTGATATTCAGTGATGAAAAATGCATTTGTTTTGCAGAAATTTGTTTCATGGTCAACTTTATGGTTGTACACCTTAAGACTAGCTATGTGATCTTAAAAAAAAAGCATTATCTCCTAGCCCATTTTCTCATTTGTTAAATGGGAATGGTAATGCATACCTACCTCATATGCTGTTGTAAAAATTAAATATATGATGTGAGGATTAAAGAACATTATATATCATGGGCTATTTACAAATTGAGATTTGCATTTTGATGGCACTATTAAAATGGTACATTTTGTGGAAAACATAGATTAAGCCAGTCAGGATGTGGGCTGATCTTAAATTTTTTAAATTAAAAATATATGTATTCTTTTATTAGCACAGACGAGGATGCAAGAAAAACTTGGTACTGACTTTGGGTGAAAGAAGCTCAATACTTTTTGAAAATTAAAAGGATAGTGTCATGTTATGAAAGCTAATTTATCATGTGTTAGGCCCGTGTCCAGAGTTACACAGTTCTCTGTCCCAGAATCTAAACCCGAGCAGTGTGCTCCTAAGCTTGCACTTAGATCACTAAATCCCCTTCCTAGGGGAATGTACAGTTGCCTATAACCCAAACTTTCTTCTAATGATGAAAGTTTAAATTATGGATGTTTAGGCTCACATTTTAGCAAGGTGGCCCTCATATTTGGTTAAAGGTTATTAGCTTTTGGAGTGTGTGTATGTGTGTATGTGTGCACCACATGTTTCCTTCAATAAAGGCATTTCTGGGGGTGGAGGCCTGGGGAAAGGCTCTTTGACTCTGTGTGTGCCCTCCTTAAGCAAATGCTTTCTGTTCCAGGACACAGTAGCCAACCTGAGCATAGGTCCAGAGCCTCCATTTTTCAAACAACTAATAACTCCATTAATTCCTAATACTGTGGATAGAGCACCAATAGGCAGAGCCTTTGGGGATGTTCTGCAGCCAGCAAAAGCTGAATACAGAGTGGTAAGACTCACAGAGATCTCTGAATCCTTTAGAGGGCTGTTTTCGGGGATGAGGGGAAGGAAGTTGTTTAGTGTCACCATCTGCCTGTAATCATGCTATAAACCAGCTCTTAGCAATGATAATGATAATTAATTGTTCTTATCTCTGTAGAACTCTGAAAAAGTAATGAGAATGGGAAAATAATTATTTTTCTGGGGGTAAATGCATAAATTTGAACTTTTAAAATCCAAATTATTCCTTTTCTTGGATGGTCATGGAACCATTCACTGGAGCTAAGTTGTCTCTTAAATCAAGGATAGGAAAAGCATACGGTATAGAATGAAGCAGGATGTGTACCATTACTATTTTATATCAGTTTTGTGTCCTACAATCTTGCTAAATCATGTCTTAGTTCCAAGATTTTTTTTTTTTTTTGGTGTGGATTCTGTAATAATTTCTACATATAGTATCATGTCATCTGCAAACAAATACAAGTTATTTCTTTCTGGATTTCTTTTCTGGATGTCTTAAATTTTTCTTTTTTCTTATTGAACTGGCTAGAATATCCAATAGAATGTTTGGGTTTTTAAAAATTTAATTTAGTTTTTTAAATTGATAAAAATTGTATATATTTATTTTGTACAGTGTACTCTTTTGAAATATGTATAAATGTATATAAAAGTGTATAGTACATTTATACATTTGAAATATGTATAAATGTGAAATGGCCATTCCATGCATACTTATCATTACTTTATATACTTTATTTTTGTGGTGAGAACACTTAAAATTTACTCTCTTAACAATTTTCAAATTATACATTTTTATTAGCTATAGTTACTATGTTGTATAATAGATCTTCTGAGCTTATTACCTCTATCTAATTGAAACTTTATGTCCTTAAAATGACATCTCAACTGCCCCCAACCTCCCAGTCCTTGGTAACTAACACTCTGCTCTACTTCTATGAGTTCAGCTTTTTAAGATTCCATATATAAGTGAGATCATACAGTATTTGTCTTTCTGTGCTCAGCTTATTTCGCTAAGCATGAACCTCCAGGTTCATCCATGCTGTCACAAATAATAGGATTCCCTTCTTTTTAAAGGCTCAATGGTGTTCCGTAGTGTATATATTTCCTTTATGCATTCATCCATTGATGGACACTTAGGTTGATTCTGTATCTTGACTATTGTGAATAATATATGAACATGGGAGTACAGGTATTTCTTTGACATATTGATTTCATTTCCTTTGGATATATACCCAGAAGTGGTATTGTTGTATCATATGGTAGTTCTATTTTTAATTTTTTGAGGAACCCCCATATAGTTTTACCTAATGCCTGTACTAATTTACATTTTTACCAACATTATGCAAAGAGTTTCCTTTCTATAAATCCTTGCCAATATTTATATCTTGTCTTTTTTATAATATCCATCAAACAGATGTGAAGCATTTCTCTGATGATTAGTGATGTTGAACATTTTTTTATATATCTGTTGGCTATTTGCATTTCTTATTTTGAGAAATTTTTATTCAGATCTTTTGCCCATTTTTAAATTAGGTTGTTTTCTTGCTATTGAGTTGTTTGAGATTCTTATTTACTTTGGATATTAACCCCTTATCAAAATATTTTGTTTGCAAACATGTTCTCCCATTCCATAGACTGCCTTTTCATTTTGTTGATTGTTTCCTTTGCTGTGCAGAAGCTTTTTAGTTTGATGTAATCCCATTTTTTATTTTCATTTTTGTTGCTTATGCTTTTAAGGTCACATTAAAACAATCATTACCCAGACCAATGTCATAGAGCTTTCACCCTGTGTATTCTTTTAGCAGTTTCATAGTTTCGGGTATTATGTTTAAGTCTACAATCCATTATGAGTTGATTTTTGTATATGGTGTGAGATAGGGGTATAATTCATTCCTCTGCATGTGGATATCAAGTTTTTCAGCATCATTTATTGAGGAGACTGTCCTTTCCCCATGGTGTGTTTTTGGCATCGTTGTCAAAATCTATTGGCTATAAATGCATGGGTTTATTTCTGGGCTTTCTATTCTATTCCATTGGTCTGTTTTTATGCCAGCCCTATACTGTTTTAGTCACTATAGCTTTGTAGTATATTTTAAAGTCAGGTGGTGTAATGCCTCTAGCTTTGTTCTTTTTGCTCAAGATTCAACACAGTGTTGAATAGAAGTTGTGAGACTGGATTTCTTTGTCTTGTTTCTGATCTTAGGAGAAAAGTATTCAGTTTTTCATCATTTAGTATGATGTTTTCTTTAGAATTTTGTGGGTGTTCTTTATCATCCTGAGAAAGTTCCCTTCTATGCCTAGTTTGTTCAGGGTTTTTGTCAGGAATGAGTGTTGAATTTTTGCAAATGGTTTTCTGTGTCTACTGAACTGGTCATGTGGTTTTGTCTTTTATTCTTTTAATATGGTATATTGCATTAATTGATTTTCAGTTGTTAAATGCCCTTTAGTCATGCATGTAAGACTTTTTACATGTTTGCTAATATATTGCTAAGGAGTTTTATATTCATCTCCATGAGTCATTCTTGTAGTTTTCTTTACATGTGCTGTCTTTGTGTGCCTTTGGCATAAGGATAATACTGGTCTCAAAGAGTGAATTGGACAATGGTTACTTCTGTATTTTTTGAAAAAGTATGCAAAGGATTGGTATTATTTCTTCTTTAAACATTTAATTGGATTTACCAGCAAAGTCCTATGGACCTGGGCTTTTCTTTATGGTAAAAATTTCAATTCCTAATTCAGTTTCTTTACTTGTTATAGGTCTATTCAGATTTTCTGTTTTTCTTTTTTCTCTTGAGTCAATTACATATCTTTCCAGGAATTTAATTTGTCTTTTTAGGAATCTGTATCTTTCTAGGAATTTGCATCTTTCTAAGAATTTTCCCATTTCATCCAAGATATTTAATTTTCTGATATAATATAAAATTTGTTCTTTTGTTGTCCATAATATTAATATTTCCTTATAATCATTTTTATTTCTGCAGAGTTGATAATGATGCTTCCTCTTTCTTCCTGATTTTGGAAATTTGTATCTTCAGAGAACTAGCTCTTAGTTTCATTGCTTTTACCTATTACTAAGCTTTTTAGGCAGGGCCAGGGCAGCTTTCTCTCTGGTGTGAATCCCTTCCCTACTTCCTCTAGCAACACCACCCCCCAACCTCAAACACATATTGAAGTAAAATCCTTTTGAATTATGACATTTTTCAGTTTGGTTGGTGTCACTCTTTCTTACATAAATATAAGTTTAACTATAAATATAAGTATAATGTAAGTGTAAGTCATCCATGGGAAGTTTTGACTACTCTTATTTGATTCATTCAATCCTCTGTATTTATGTGGGAGGAAGATGTAAGAAAATAATAAGGGCAAAAGGAGCCCTTTTAATGTGCTGTCACTAATAGGGACTATAGCTCTAGGTCTTCATCTGTATCTGAGTCTACCAAAAGCAAATTCATTGGCCAAAAATTCTGGAGTAATTTACTGGTCACAACTTCTTGTATCTATTATTGCAAGGGTTATTCTCTCTGATATTCTTAGAAGATAATTCACTGATTAAGTAGAATAGAATCCATACAGGCACCCTGAATCCTAGAATGTATAATAGATAATGCTTCAGATATGAATATAGCAAAAATATTTTTATTAAAAGTCATCAAATGAGTTTTTATTTTCAGGGAGAAGTTGCTGAAGTTGTATTTGTAGGTGCTAACCCAAAGAATTCAGCAGAAAACCGGGTAAGTATCAATGATTTTATTTTACAAATCCAAATCCAATTTTTGGTCATTTGTTCACTTGACTATCCCTCTAGATGTTAACAACCTAAAGATAAAAATGTGCCAACTTGTTTTGCATCTTATTTTGTAGGTGTGAAAAAATTTTCAGTGGGTACAGTTAATGTGGATTGGGTCTGGGAAAAAGCACACAGGAAACAACTGCCTCTTCTTAGGATCACATATAGCATAATGTGTATAGAAAGGCATTGTCTTGGGATTGTCTCTCAAGAAGAAGTTAATTTGAACACAATCCCATTTGTGTACAGTCGTGGCCACATAATGATGTTTCAGTCAATGATGGACTGAATAGTTAATGGTGGTCCCATAAGATTATAATGCCATATTTTACTATACCTTTTCTATGTTTATATACACAGATACATTGTGTTACAGTTATCTACAATGTTCAGTAGAGTAACATGCCGTACATATCTGTAGCCTAGGAGGAATCATCTGTACCATATAGGCTAGGTGTGTAGTAGACTATACTATCTAGGTTTGTGTAAGTACACTCTTTGATGTTCACACAATAATGAAATCACCTAATGCCGCATTTTTCCATATGTATCCAACACATGACTACTAGGTTCCCTTGTCCCCTGGTTCCCAGTGTTAAGAATGCGTACTGATACCAAGCAGAGCCGATGACAAGTGATCACAAACACAAAGCAGTGTTATACAGTTTATCACATTAATGAAAGAATGAAAGTAAAGAAGAAAGCTACACAAAGCGCAAATACATCCCAGAGTGAGTGGAACAGGTCCATCTCCACCAGTGGTGGAAGACAAGGAAGTCTGAGCACACACTGCTTTTTTTAAGCTCACTAGTTTGTCCTGCCTTTCTCCTGGGAGGATTGGTTGTCGTTTCCTGCCCTTTGAGGTGATTGACAGGTTGTGGTTATATAACAGGTTGGTTCTGTAACAGTTTCCCTTTCTGTGGGTGGGTCTTCCCCAGAATCCTTCACGAAGCTCCACCCATGCCATGCTAATTAGATGGTATTGAGCTCTAGGTCAGTTAAAGGTTAGTAGGAACTTTTACCACGTATGTTCCCACCAGGGAACAGTTCCTAGCCACAGTTTGGTTCCTAGCTACAACTCGGTTCCCACTCTCTACCATTAGCCACTTTCTTGCCACCTGTTTACCCTCCAACAGACCTAACATGACTGTTTTCAAATTTAGAACTCTACTATTGTAAATAGGGTCAAATAAGTAAAGTACCAATAGAGTGAAGTGTATTTCTGGCTCCTTCCTCCCTTTTTGGCTTCTCCTCCTCCTCCATCATTACTACTTCTGGTTCCATCTCTACTGTTGCAGGATGATCATGGATCCCTGGTGGATGATCTCCTGGTTTGAAATCCTGGCCCATGTGCATTACTGTATCTTGCATTGGCCATTTCCTTACTCTTTACCACTGGCACTAATAGGACATTTATTTATTAATCTTAAAAAATGGCACAATGAAATACATATCCAATGTAAAAGCAATATGAAAGTGCATAAAATAGAATGTAAAAGTAGTCTTTTACCCACAAACCTGCTTTGCAGATGTAATCACTGTTAATAGTTTCTTACAATGCATTTCTGACTTTTGTTTTTATCAGACGTGATAAATTATATACATATATATCTATTAATAAAATAATTTTACTTTTCTATAACTTTCTGAAAATGTTCTTATAACTACACAAGCAATAATTGGACATCTAGTTGTAAACATTCAAACAATAAATTTATAGTGGAAAAAGAAAGTGGCCCTATGAATGTGATTTCAAGGTCATGTTTTTTCTGTAGCTGAGGATGCATTCACCCTATTGATGAGGTGTTCTTCCCAGGGCACAGTCACTTATAATCACCTTTCTTCCAAATGAAACTTCCCATTTCGTTCATATAACAATTGTAACAGTATGACATTGTCAAACATGACATTGGGGAAAAATGTTGGGCTGTGTGGATAAACAATATGCACTTGTTTGAAATAATTTCTCTAAGAAGTCAAGCTATGCTGGAATATTTACATATCATAAATATGTTATAATGTTTATAATATTTCCTAAAGATACCAAAGTGTTATATCAAAACTGTAGGTTTAGCTATTATCTGATTTCCTTAGGAAAAATTCTATCAGCATTATTGCCATGGAGAAGCTGGAGAACAAAATGCTTAAAGCACTATAATGGTAATAAAATTATTTTCTAAGAATGCTCTGGGACTGGGTATAAAACAATTTCCAGTACCCTTCCTTATTAGTAATCATCATATCATCATTACTGTTTATTGAATGATTACTATTTGCAGGTACTAGGCTAAGTGCTTTGTGTATATTATCACATGTATCTAATTTAATCCTCACTGCTACCAGATGAGTTAAGTTTCATTATCCCTGTTTTACAGATGAATAAACTGAGGCCTAGAGAGATTAAGTAACTTGTATTAACTAGTTATGTATCTGGAAGAGATTTTGGTAGGGAGGTGGTGAAAGGATGGTCACACGTTTTGTCCCTGATATTCAGAGGCCTAGACTTGTTCTCCAATCTGTACTTTAGACATACTCATTAGAGCCCACCCTATCTCCTCCTCCATCTAATGCCTTCCCAATGTCATTTTGCCTTAAGTGGACAGAAATAGCTCTCTTTACAAGTTATCATGGTTATGAAAACATCTTTATGGAATGTAATCTGTCAATTGAATAACTAGGGAAGAATTTTAAATAATTATTAATACGAGACACTTCTGTAAATAAATGATCCATCTAGCCAAGAGTTCTGAGCACCAGTAAATGATAGGTGTAAAGAACTATGATAGGTAAAGGTGAATTAGACATAATTCCTACCTTTAAGGTCTACAACCTAAAGAAATTTAAAGGATACTTTAGAAGATTTATGGCCTTTGTCTCTATTAACTTGTCATATTATTCAAATCTGTGTTTTATTTTAAACCGATTCATCTGAAACAAATTTTTCTATTATAACAATCTTCCCATGGGGAAATAAAATCTGCTTATGATGTGGTTTCTAGGAATTCATTATGACAAAATATAGTGACTGCCTTTACAACCTCAGGACAAGAAAGACTTATGTACTTTTTTTTAATCCTTTCACTCAGGGAGGTACATTAGCTAATAATTCATTTACCTGGAGATGGAAAGATGATGAAATTTTACCATTTTCCCTCCTAAATCTTGAGGTGACTAGAGAAAGTCTTGGAATATAGAGCAATGAACATGTCAGGAAAAGGTTTGAATTATGCCTTTTTTAAATCTCAAGTTTTATTCCCAGTTTCTTCTTTGCCCTAATTTCCAAAATTTGCTATCAGATCCACAATTATACTTCTTTCAAATTTCTAAAAAAAGTCATAGTTTTTAATAGACTAGATAAATTAACATTCTGAAGATATTGCATAGAATATTAAGAGGAACACCTATGAATTTGGATGAAATGTGAATGTATTCTCATACAAGGTATTGTTAAATTAGCATATGGTCAACAAGGGGAATATTTAAAACCAGTTTCCTTCTTGTCACTGTGCTGTGCCTGATCAGTTGTATTAATTGCATTTCAGACTCATCAGACCTTCCTCACTGTGGAGAAATATGAGGCTACTTCAGCATCGTGGCAGATAGTGTATAATGATGCCTCCTGGGAGACCCGGTGAGCATGTCTATTATATATGTCTCTCAGGCCTTGAAAACAGTTGGTTTGTGATGCTGGGAAGACAAATGAGCAGGTTGATTCAATATATGATATTAATGATATCAAATTGCCTTCTGGACATATTTAGTTGATTTATTAGACTTCATTTTGATTCTCTTTTTCTGCAAAACAATGTAGTGTGTGCTTATGTAAGATTAGGTGCTAATGAGGTTATGGCTTCCCTTCTTACAGACATCTGTTAGTTCTGTTTCCCCCCCCCCCCCCATGGTCACAGGTACTACTCCTAAAAAGCTGACTAGCTTTCTTGCAAATTAGTTGAAAGGAGTGTTGGGTGAGGGTGTTGAGATGTCTCTGTAGAGCCTGACATTTCTATTGGGAAAATAATGAATCTCTACCTGACATGTATTGCATATTTGTGTATGACCAGTGATTCTTCATTTGAGTTACTGGAGACTAGGGTGTTTAACTCTTACTGACTTAAGCAAGGAGATAATATGACATATCTCTGTGCCTTTTGTTACCAAATTCCTATGCTGAATAGATATTTTGAAGATTTGACAAAGTACCTGAAATAAGAAAACATTTCTGTTCCCAGGTCTATAAATTTCATACCACAGGACAGTGGCATGTAAGTGGGTAAAGTTTTGTATATTATATACAATTATATTGTATATAATTCAGATCACCTCAAACTAAGTGGTTACTTGTATGTTAGCTAGGTTCAGATGGTTAACTGAAAATAGGGATTTGGCCATGTGGCCCATTTTGATAGCCGTATATAAACATGGGCATAATTTTTTCTTTGATCTTTAGAACTCTAGAGAATGGATGATTTTTAACAAGTAATAGATATTTATTGTAAAAAAAGGTAATGCAGATAATAAAAAAAGAATGATTTATTTTCAAAAGCTAAAAGTCAGAATAGCTATCAATACTGAGGATCTGTTTAGACTTCTGCCTTTTCATTAGTAGCAGTATCATCAAGTATTTATTGAGAGTACCGTCTTATTACTAAGAAACACGGGATCTTTGAGAATAACTGAACTCTCTTCTGTGGTCTGCAGGGGCCAACATGATCTGACCCCATGTGTTTCTCTCATCTTAACTGTTAGTCCACAGTTCACTGTTCCCTGTACCAGCAGACCTGCTTTCTGTTTCTTGGCCGTACCAAGTTTGTTCCTGCTTTGGACTCTTTGTATTCTCTGTTCCTTCTTCCTAGAATGTTCTTCCTCCAGATCTCTGTAGACTTAGTTTAAATGACATCTTCTTGGAGAAACTTCTGTCTTATTTTCTTCGTTACACTTACCATTCTTAAAATTGTAAAATGTATTGGTTTGTTTGTTGCCTTTATTTTCATCTCCACCCAAGTAGAACATAAACTGCATAAAACTTTGGACCATATCTTTCTTGCTGACTACTGTATCTGCAGTACTTTTAGAATAGAGTCTGGCACATGTGCTCACTAAATGTATATTTTAAACAAATGAGTCTAGATGTGAAAAGAAGTGTCAGTTGATGCAGAGTATGATAAGGCCTAAAAGGATGCTATAGCAATTCCAAAGCAGGAGACATCCTGTGTTCTTGAGTATCAGGTAAGGATTCCTGGGATGGATAGAGTTTAAGTAGTTAGAAAGGTAGAACAAGTAAAGATATTTCTACAAAGAGCTGTTTTGTTTTTTAAAGTTTCTCTTCTAGAAAATAGGTATTCATGTCTGTTTTGTTCATTGCTGTATCCTCTGTGTCTAAATAGTGCCTTGCTCATTCTAGCTTCTTCCTGAGTATTCATTAAATGAATAAGTATGCATTTTTCTAATTACACATTTTTAAGAGTAAAGTTGGATTTTGCTTGTTTGTTTTCTACCAACAGTTTTCACTGGCATAAGGGATTACTGGGTCGGAGCAATGCAACAATAGAATGGCATATTCCGGACACTGCCCAGCCTGGCATCTACAGAATAAAATATTTCGGACACAATCGGAAGCAGGACATTCTGAAGCCCGCTGTCATACTTTCATTTGAAGGCACTTCCTCCGCTTTTGAAGTTGTAACTACTTAGAGAAAAGTTGACAAATCATTTGAAGACCAGCTTTATTCTGTATACCGTATATAAGTGATTTCACGTGAATGTGAACTAAATGAATTACCATGTTGACCTCTATAATCGTCCCTGTTTGGGGACAGGGAGAGTTTACTGCTAATGGGACAGAAATGTGTGTGTGTGTCTGTATCTGTGTTTGAGAGTGAGAGAGAGAGGGAGAGAAGGAGAGAGAGAAAGAGAGATTGTTCCATTTATCTTGCTCCGGCAGCCATGTACCTCGTGGTCTTCAGCTTAAAGCATGATTTCCCTTGAGGCCTTGGGGTTGTTTAAGGGACAGTTCCTTCAATACAAAACCTCTGAAATATTAGTAAAAATGGTTGAAGATATGTGAACAATGTTTAACATATTTTATTTATAAAATTGTTGAATGTTAGCACTGGAAGAGTTTATAGGAATCTAGTTTGATTCTTCTCATCATACAGATGGGAAATATGAGGTTTTGTGGATTTCAGATTAGACTAAAGTTATAGGACCTTGCTCCCAGTCACATTTACAAAATATTATATAAACCTTGGCCATAAATGTATAAGCCTAATCAGAGAAATAGAAAGTTAGCATGCCAGTTTTCTTACATTCAGATGAGCATAGCCTTACTAATCAGTCACCCTGCAATTGGCATGCCTAGTCCAGAGTTGTTGATGCTCGAATCATTTCTGGAATTGCCTTCAGAGCCCAATTATGAGAGAGTCAGACTTGTAATATTTTGATCATGCCTTGTGTTTTCCTAAGTGTCCTTATCCCAGTGGATTGTGTCTCTCATTCTCAAGGCTTATTCTAAATGATTTTTGACTGTTTTCATTAATCCAATTCACCCCAAATAACAAAGCTTTGCCATTAGTGTAGATATTAAAATGAAAGTGTTACTGGCTGGGAAGGTAATCCTTAAGAGGGAGGTTCTAAATTTACTTACTGTTCTTTTATCACTTGCTCACTCACTCACGCACTCATTCATTCACGGACTCATTCAATCACAGAATATTTATTAAAACTTACTCATATGCCCTGCATTTTACTAGTACCTAGGCCTTGACAATTAGTGATCGTATTTGGGATGAATGTGTAAGTGTCAAAAGGTGACTAATCTTAAGGAGAAAATATTCAATTTTGTGTATAAATTCTGGAGAGGTGTTTAAAAATCAGTAATCTGCAAGTCACATCTTATACAGCATTTGTGTTGGATACTCTAATCTTGGGGGAAAGAGGCTCCAGACAACTTGATAAATACTGTTTTGAAATTTATTTTGAGGCATTATGAAATACCCAGCTCAATGTCCCAAAGAATAAGGTATGACAATCTGACATCAATTGCTTCCAAGTACTAATTGCATTCAAAATTATTATTTAAGTTAACTAGGAGTTTCCCAGACTGTCAAATAAATTTCTAAACCACACGTCATACTTTTGTATGTATGTAAAAGCTTTGGCATTTAGGAGAAAAAAAACCAACCTTTATTTCAAAAATAAACTTTAAGGTTTGAAAATATTAATAATATAATTATAATAATCCTAACAATATATGGCTTAATCTCTTACACATAATATATTGAATTAGAATGAACCTGGAACACTTTTTGATGAATTGCTATTCTAGAGATTGTTTCTATGGAAGTTAATGGCTGGAGAAGTAGCTAATCAAATCAGATTTTCAAGGGTTTGTCATCATTTTTCCTAATGACACCATAGTCTTTAGTGTAAAACTTCCAGGGCCTAAAAGAGAAGGAGATTTTGAAAGTAGTTGACTGTAGACAAAAAAAAATTATATTAGTACTTATGATATGGTTTTAAAAAGAATATTTCTCATTACCCAGAAAAGTTTATGAATTATTTTCCACCACCTCCATCCCTCCACCAGAGCTTCCCTCAGTCTGCTTGTCATTCCCTGTTGCTCCCTAGCAGCTGTTCCAAGGTGGCTACCTTGTACCACCTACTAAACCTTCTGCATCCAGCCTTCTGTTGACCAGTACTCTTGGCCCCAGATAACCCACAGAAACCTAGCTATCATCTCTTCCAGCTCATGCAGTTCATGTTTTGCAACTTATGTGTAAAAAGAAAACCAAATTTTTACATTATAGATATCATAGTTATTCATCTACACATAAAGAACACCAGGAGGTAACAGATCTGATCTGTTGATCTAAAAAAATAGATTCAATTTGTGTCTGTGGCTGCTGCTGGGAGTGGCTCATTGGAGCCAAACCATGTGTTGGAAACTCCTGAGAAGGGTGGAAAATAGTGGGTTGGGTAGGTGGGAGAACGATTTTGGAGAAGATTTTCTTTTGTATATCAAAGTGTCTGTGTTTTATTTGTTGGACTCTGCCTACTCTGGTTTTAAGGATTCTGTAACTTAAAAAAACACTGAATGGTCCCCCTTCCAGGTCTATATTTTTTGATGCATATTATGTAAAATTGTCAATATTAAATAGAACGTTTAATAATAAATTAAGAATTACACTTGTGAAAGTATTTTCTAATGAGAGGTAATGTAGACAAATAGACACTTTTTTTTTTAAAGAGATGGAACAAAAGGTTGTAGATTACATGTAAATCAGGTTGGAAAGTGGTACAAATGACTTCTGTAAATAACCACTCAAAAACAATGGAACTACTTCATCAGTTCCTTCCCCATCTCAGAAGATCTACTGCTGGTAAATACATATGGTTGTCTCTCTCTCTCTCTCTCTCTCTTTTTTTTTTTTTCACTACTAGGGCAACTGAGAGTTTCCTAGGCATGTAGCTAACTATAAAATTGATTTATAAGCTAATTCTGAACAAAGAGACCCAGGATGAATTTACATGTGAATATCCTTTTCCAATCTACCCTGTTATGCTTCTCCTCCAATGTAAGCAAGCTCACTGTCCTTTTATAATAGTAGCATATGGATTTCATCTTTAGCCAGAAAGTTTCATCACTAGATGATCCCTTCATGTCTTTAGTTCTTCCAAATGATGCTTTTTCTTCGTGGGTATCCAAACTGACTTGCTGGTTTATACTGGCTTTTGGAATTTTAGAGTGCTATGGTGCCAGAGAGGGAAATTTGCATGTTCCTCACACAATTAGTTACAATGCATTCAGCTATAAGTAACAAAATATTCCTGATCAACAGTGATCCAAGCACTAAAAAACTTCACAGTCTCACATGGCAATAAGTCTTGAGGTGACAAATTTCAGATTTGGTGTAGCCACTCAGAGTTGTCACTGATACTTTTCTTAACATTTTGATTTAATTCTTAGGTTTGTCCCTCAGTGCAAAGATGGCTACCTCATGTCTTCATACAATTGCATATAGCAGCAAAATGGGAGAAGAGAGTTCTCTTTAGAATCTCTTGTTGGAAGGTGGAAAATAGTAGGAGTACAAGTAGAATTTCCCTTACATTTACTTGTCCAGAACTGGTCAGTTATATCAAATGTTGCAGAGAGACCTAAAAGTATAAGAACTGAATGAAGTCTTTGAAACTTGGAGGTGAGCAATTTCATAAGAATGGAAGAAGTCTGCAAGAAGTTGAGGAATTATTACATTGACTGGCTTTGGCAGAGACTGTTAGTGGCCACACCACGTCTGCTCTTCTGTTCTTCCACAGTGAGTGTTTTAATTAGTCATGGGTTTAGGACTGCATTTCCCAGCTTCAGGATAGCCCAGGACTGCCTTTGGCAGCTGGCTATCGTCATTAGCCAAGTTCTGTTCAATAGGAGGAGAAAAGTGATGTGTTCTATTTCCCACTTGTGCTCTCAAAAGGAATGGGCACACACTCCCTTGCCCCAATTTCTTTCTTAATAGATGTGTAGTGAGCATGGCAGCAAGATTTGAAACAGCCATTTGAGCCTGGAGATGGCAGCTTCACATTAAAGATGGCAATAATATAAAAGAATCCTGGGTCCTTGATAATTCAAGGTTGTCACATCATCCCTGGACTGCTTATTCTCAGATGATTAACTGATGGGAAAATAAACTTCCATCTCATTTTTCACTGTAACATTTCATTGTTGTAGCAACTTGAACCTGTATTCTAACTAATACATTGATTACAGCCCCATTAAGGCTATCTTTAGACACTTTGTTCTACTGTGGCTAGAAAACATGTCAACATATTTGTATAAAATCAGAAAGCAGATCTTTACCAGCTGAACTGGGGAAAATGGTATGGTGATCTCTTTGTTTTCTGATTCTCTTGGCTGGTATGGGTTGAATTGTCTCCTCCCTAAAAATATATATTGAAGTCCTAACCCCCAGTACCTCAGAATGTGATGTGACTTCATTTGGAAATCAAGTCATTGCACATGTGATTAGTTAAGATGATGTCATACTGGGGTAAGGTGGACCCCAGATCCATTGTGACTGGTGTCTTTATAAAAAGAATGCCACACGAAGAGACGCACACAGGGAGAACAAAACATGAATGTGAAGGCAAGGATCAGAGTGATGTGTCGGCAGGCAAAGGAATGCCAAAGACGGCCAGCAAACCACCAGAAACTAGAGAGAGGCATAGATCAGATTCCCTCTTACAGCCCTCAGAAGGAACCAGCCCTGCCAATACTTTGGTCTAGAACATCTAGCCTCCCGAATTATGAGACAATATATTTCTGTTGTTTAAGGCACCCACTCTGTGGTCTTTTGTTATGACAGCCCTTGGAAATAAATACACTGATCAATATATTAATTTCCTCCTCTTTAGGCATCTGCCAAAAGAGATTCTTATGTGCCTTCCAGTTTTGAGGACAGAGTAATCATGTCTGTTCTTTACTTTCCTGGACCCTGTGGTCACTTTATGGCAACTGACTTCATCATCATTGGTTTTTATAAGTGTTATCTATCATTGTCAAAGACTATAGTAAATCCTAAAACTAATTTACATATCATAAAAAGCCAAATGAATCAGCTGGGATGCAGCTCTAACTAAAAATTTATAGAGAATAAACATTCTGCAATTTTGAAAATCTTTTATGGGTTGTGGTTAAATCTATGAATATATATTATATATATTTATGAGATAGAAGAGTCAGGACAAACACAATTACACATGCTTATTTTCAGTTGCAATTGAACTGAGTTGGTCTTTTTCCTCTCCAATTTATTATGCAAGTATTACAAGCTCTGCAGCCAACAGGGGAAATATCATCTTTCTGTTGACACGGAGGCAAAGCCATAGAAAAATCAGGATGTACTTAAAAACTTTGATAGTCCCAGTTTTAAATTAAGAAAATGATTGTGTTTATATTATAGAAAGGTATTGTAAAAAGTAGTAACGTGATTTTTTTTTCTCCCTCTGAGTGATTCATTTCACATTTAAATAGGTGAATATCTTCTATGTCAGGAAATGCTGTCTTGAATAAAGAAGGCTTTACAGACCCTAGTGAAGGGATATCTTCCAATCTCTGGGGAGTATTTTATTTTCTGTGAATTAAGCAAGTAGTATCTCAGTGTCCATCTTTTAGTATAAAATTTAGTGGGGACCTCTGGGAGATATATTTTCTGCTGGTTGGGGGATATGAAGTCTACTCAGAGGAGTGTGATGCTCTTCTTATCTTCCTGTGTCTCCACTATTATAGGAGCATCATGAAAATTCCACTGTGATTCCAAGCTTAGACTGTCACTGAATATTTTGAGACCTTAAAATAATTTTATTATGGAAATCTTGAAACATACAAACAAGCAGAGAGAATGATATGATGATACTCCACTTACCCCATCATCCAGCTTCAGAAATTATCAACATTTTGTCCAAATCTTGTTACTCTATCTCCTTACTACTTTCTGGAGTGGGGAGCATTGTGCTGGGCTATTTCTCCTATAAATAGTATATTTCTCTAACAGATAAAGACTTTTATAAAAAAAAAACTTTGCCACGGGGTCACTCTCATACCTAACAAAGTTAACAACAACCCCTTAATTTCATCTAATATACAGTCCAAGTTTCCTTGATTGTCTAAAAAATGTCTTTTTACACTGGATTTATTTAATCAGAGTCCAAACAAGTTCCATACATAGCACCTGGTTTATTTCTTACGTCACTCTTAATATATAATATTTCTCATGCTACTCCCTTTCATGTCTTTATTTGTTAAGGAAACCATGTTGTTTGTCAAGGTTTTCCAACATTCTGGCCAAATGTTTCCTCATGGTGTGCTTTAATTTCTTCCTCTATTTTTGCTGTTTCCTGTAAATATTAGCTAGATATTATAGTTTGATTAGATTTAGGTTAATGTTCTTTTTTCTTTTGGCAAGAATACTTTGTTGGTAGTGTAGTTTATTTTCTATTTAATAAAACAGGAGATACATAATGTTTGTCTCACTTTTATTAGGACCGACATGACATTCAGGAGTCATCAGTCTGATGCCTCCGTTATAAAGATCCCTGTCAACTTTTATCTTTAGTTTCCACAGTCATAAATGGCCGTTCACTAGATCTATTATTTCTTTGGGGATTAAAAAATAGTAATTTTTGAATTCTACCTTTTTTCTGTATTTATTAAGTTAGAAAACTTCTATTAAAAATAACTTTCTCTTATAAACTGCTGGGTCAACATGAAATATACTTTGTGCAGAAAAAAGGCAGCAAAAGTGATTGAGTCTATCCCTTCTTGCTTTTATCAGTTTTCATGATAATGAGTTGATACCCTAGCAGTCTCCAAAGGTGACCAATGATTTTCTTTCCTCTTTAATTATCTTATAAACTCACGGTTTATTACATATTTGATGTCTTAATCCATTTTAGTCAGTTTTTAGTGCTCAGTGCAGTACCTCTTAGGCTAGTGAGTTTACTCACATGTCTTTTCCCCATGCCCTCTGGTAGGCTCTGAAAGCTTCCTGGTGACTGATATAACAACAACTTATTTCTAGGCTCATTTTATACATTGTCTGCATCATCCCTGGATTTTGGAGTCATTTCTCCAAAGTGGCTTCATTCTTTTCAGTGGGAAATGGTATTTAAAGACTACTATTTGGACATAGGAGGTGCTCAGTGCTACTCAGTTATCATGGCTTCCTGGCCTTTTCAGTAGAGACAACTGGGAAATATGTATTTCTTAGAAAGAAGAAAACCATAAGAATATACTAACATTTCAATTCAAACTGAAATTATAGGATTTTTACTTAATTTCTTTGAATTTTATACTGTTTTACTTGTTTTATGTTGGAAATCTGTTCCTCACAACACTAACTTATTTGTTTATTTTATAATACTTCAAAATAGCAGTATCAATATTAATAATACTATTATGATTACTGGATGTAGTTTAAGATTTTTTTCTGGCTCTTTTTTTGTCCTGAAGTTATATCTTACTGTGATGTGTAATGAATACTGTATTTTGGAGGCACTTGAAATGATACTTTATGTGATGTATATTTAATTTCATTTGTTTTAGTTATATTTCAATCTTTAAAAATTACATTTTTCCTATATGACTCAATTGTGTTAAATATATACATGGTTACAAAGTAAAAAATCAAAACAATACATTTAGAGAATTATGGTTTCTATTCTTGCTCCCCATCCCGGTTTATCCCTCTGTTTTATGAAACTATTTTTAAATTAGTTTGTGATTTACCTTTCATTGTTTCTTTTTAAAAATACAATATTTATTTCCTTTCTATTCATAAGGTTGTATATTATACATACTCCTCTGCACCATTTTTATTTTACTTAAATTATATCTAGAGATAATTGCATTTTAT